CAGATGGAACCGCATTTGCATTCCTTTCCTGTTGCTGAACTGCTCTGAGCTCCCGAGAATTACAGAATGTTTTAAGAACTGCTGAGTCACTTCATGGAGAGGACAAGCACAATTTCAGAGAGGACTCAGACATCACTGATGAATTTGAAACGTATTTTAATTTTCCGTAACTGCCTTTGGAAGATCAGGTGTCAGGATGTGCCTGAATGATCAAGAATCTGCCCTCTGATTGTGGCTCAATTTTGAGAACTGACCTAAGCCAAAAGTGAAACATCGCTGGAATTCTGGAGCCAAGCACACAAGTCCTAAGATCACCTTAAAATATTTTACTGCTGGGTAGTGCTTGAGTTCCTCTTCTCAATAAAAATACATTCTTTTAATACAATCATGAAATGAAAACAAATTAGGGAGTACTAGCAGTAATGCTAACCTATAATTGAGAGGTGTTAAAATTTTTGTGAATGTCAGTCTGTAAAGTGTTGATATTTTATTAATGAATAAAATGATCAATGATTAGCACCAAGCTTAACACAGTTTTTCTGTAAGAATAAACTTATGACTCTTTTAAGGAGGTTGCTTTCATTTTATTATAAAATAAATCTTGCAAACTCTTTGGAAAACAGTGTGGCGATTTCTGAAAGAACTAGAAACTGACCTTCCATATGACCCAGCAATTCCCCTATTGGGAATATACCCGGAGGAACTTAAGTCGTTCTACCAAAAAGATACCTGCACAAGCATGTTTGTTGCAGCTCTACTCACAATAGCAAAAACATGAAACCAACTATGCTGCCCATCAAAGCTGGACTGGATAAAAAAATGTGGTACACAGACACAACGGAATATCATGCAGCCATAAAGAAGGACAAACATATGGACTTTGCAGCAACTTGTATGAATTTAGAGTCTATCATACTCAGTGATCTATCACAGACACAAAGAACAGAGTACCATATGTCCTCACTCATCAGCAGACCTTGAACAATTATCATAATACTATTGACAGCAGTGGGAAATTGCCGGGAGAAGGGGGATGGGATTGGCAGTTGAGGGAAACTGCCTGGGGAGGGAGGGGTACACCTCATCAACAGGAGTACCTGCATAATGAACATTTGCATACCTAACCCTGAATTGTACCCCACATCTTTACAACAAAAAAAAGAGAAAATAAATCTAATATTATGGCTAACAGGTTAAACTTCATTCTTTTTTCAATAAAAATTAACATGTCTTATATAGATTTGTGACCATGTGCTCTAATTCTGAAAATAAATATGGACACACTTCTCATGTAAATTGCTCATAAAGCACCCAGAGAGATAAGAGTAAGGTAAGTAGTTGTCCTTTCTCCTAAACACACCCAGATTTTGAGATATTACAAAACCACAACAAAGACACAAAGGGAGCCAGGCTCAGTGGCTCAGCCAGTAATCCCCCGCCTTTGGGAGACTGAGGTAAGTGGATTGCCTGAGCCCGCGGGTTCGAGACCCGCCTGGGCAATTTGGCAAGACCTCATCTCTACAATAAAATTTAAAAAATCAGCTGGGCGTGGTAGCCCGCGCCTGTAGTTCCAGCTACTTGGAAGGCTAAGGCGGAAGGATCGCCAGAGCCCAGCAGGTCGAGGGTGCGGTGGCCAGGAGCGGCCACTGCACTCCAGTCTGGGTGACAGAGTGAGACTTCAACTCAAAAAAACCCCCAAAAAACAAAAAACAAAGACACATGGGAAAATCTAAACTACAGAAGTAGAGCTGAACCAGACTTCATTTTGGCTCAGTCATTAAATGTTAGCTAACCCCAAAGGAGAATAGTACTTCAGGACAGCCGGCGGCTTAAACCTCTTATGAAAGGGGCAGTGAGTGAGTGCGACTCATTACTCTAAAAAAGGCTGCAGCCGGGCTCGGTGGCTCAGCCTGTAATCCCGCGCCTTTGGGAGGCTGAGGTGAGTGGATTGCCTGAGCCCGCGGGTTCGAGACCCGCCTAGGCAGACGAAGACCTCATCTCTACAATAAAATAAAAAAATCAGGTGGGCGTGGTAGCGTGAGCATGTAATTCCGGCTACTTGGAAGGCTGAGACGGAAGGATTGCCGGAGCCCAGCAGGTCGAGGCTACGGTGGCTGGGAGCAGCCACTGCACTCCAGTCTGGGCGACAGAGTGAGACTCCAACTCAAAACAAAAAACAAGCAAACAAAAAGGCTGCAGGTTGAAAATCCATAACGGTTTAAATAACTTGTAAACTCATAAGAGATCTGAGAGCAGAAAAGAGAATTTTGGAGCCATTCCTAGCCTCTCAGGCCAGTATCATGAAAGTATCATGAAAGCACATCTTCCAAAAGCAAACTAGCAATCAAAACAAACTTCGACCCTTTTTCAGAGCGGAACACAAAGCCAGAACTCATGGTCTGCCCTAGAATGGCTTTTCTCCCACTCCTCCAAAGAGTCGTTCACGGGCACCTACAAGGCAGATACCACCTGCTATTAGTCAAGATCCACACTGTTTTGGGATGAGTGCGACACGAGACAAACAACAGAAACAAATCCAGCTGTATTCCACAAATTATCCTTTTTTTTTAAGCAATTGATCCAAGGTAAAATAATAGAACTACCATATACATATCTAGATACTTTGTACTTTCATCTATCGTCTCTTCTCTGCTAAGATATCTTAAGCTATGCTATTCAGGCACTAAAAGCAGCAGCAGGGAGAATCTGTAGTGGTATCAGACAGGAGATTCTTTTAACCTGCTGCGTCAACAATTCCCCTATTGGAAATATACCGGGAGGAACTCAAATCATTCTACAAAAAAGATACCTGCACACGTATGTTCATTGTAGCTCTATTCACAATAGCAAAAACATGGAACCAACCATGTTGCCCATCCAAGCTGGACTAAATAAAAAAAATGTGGTACATATACACAATGGAATATTATGCCATAAAGAAAGACAAACATATGGACTTCACAGCAACTTGGCTGGATTTAGAGTCGATCATACTCAGTGATCCATCACAGAAACAAAGAACATAGTACCATATGCTCTCACTCATAAGTGGACCTTGTAACAATTATAATACTATAAGAAAAGGATTGGCAGTAGTGGGAAACTGTTGGGGGGGGTGGGATTGACAGTTGAGGAAACTGCTAGGGGAGGAAGGAGCACACCTCATCAACAAGGGCACCTGCATAATCAATGTTTGTATACCTAACCCTGAATTATACCTCCCATCTTTATAATAAAATAAAACAACAACAACAACAAAAAAACCCCTTTTGGACTGCACCAAAGCATAAACTTGGCTCTTCCGCAAAACTTTATTTTTATCCTGTTCAAAATGTAGCTTCGAAAATGAGCAAAGACAAAGCTGCACTCCATTCAGAGAGACACAGTTAGGATCCTATCTTGCAATAAGAGAGAGACCATTCATACTAATCTGCTCAGAGCTCTTCCAAAACCACATCTATGTCTGTTTTACACTGAACTGGGCATACACCAAAGCTCAGAGGTATAAAAGAGGTTCAAGACAAAAGTCAAATAATTATGGACCTCTAGAAAGAACATCAAGGGAAGAGTAAAGAGTTCTAGTCTGAGATTTGCTAAATTAAAAAAAAAAAAGCCATGGGTTCTCGGCCTCAGTTTTCAGTTTGAAATATGATATAAAAGAGATAATATGTTTTTTTTTTTGAGTTGGAGTCTCACTCTGTTGCTCAGACTGGAGTGCAGTGACCGCTCCCGGCCACCGCAGCCTCGACCTGCTGGGCTCCGGCGATCCTTCCGCCTCAGCCTTCCAAGTGGCTGGAACTACAGGCACGCCCTACCACACCCAGCTAATTTTCTGATTTATTGTAGAGATGAGTTCTCACTAAGTTACCCAGGTGGGTCTCGAACCCGCGGGCTCAGGCAATCCACTCACCTCAGCCTCCCAAAGCGTGGGATTACAGGCTGAACCACCGAGCCTGGCCTCTAGGTTTTTTTTAACGGCATGCAGTAAAGCAGGCATATTCGGAGAAGGAGAACGGTTCACTTCATGGTTTGGAAGTGAAATTCACTTCAAGGTAGTTTGCCTGGTTTGTTTGGAGTTCATATTCCTACAGAAAGCCAAAAGAAATGCAGAAGCTCAACTGTTCTAAGAAACCCAGGAGTGGTGTCTGTCTGTCTGCCTCTCTATTTAACAAGTGACTTGTTCTTCCCATTCCAACCTTTCTTTTCCCCTAACATAATTTGCTTGCTCCTGTATTCAGGGATCATGATATTGTCTCTGAACTTTCTCTTTTAGCCTAGAAAGACCTATCCTACAATTCTGACAAGTTCTCATATATTATCTGCCATTCCACTTTCTCAAGCATATCATAGAAGGGGAACAAATTTGTTCCGACCTAACCCTGTTTAAACACATCCTAAGTGCCTCCAAATCCAATACAGTCAGGCAGATAAGAGCCCAACTCTCCCACCACTGGACTCCAACTCTCTAGAGCGGGAGCAGGTTAAAAAGAAGCAGAGTTTCTACAGAGCTAGAAGATGGAACAAGAGCACTCCATGGAAGTGGTTGTCTCTGGACTCAATGGATCCAGAGGGCCTCACAACTCCAAGAGACACCTCAGATCACAGCCAACATGACAGAGAGCAAAGAGAGCTCACTCATTCCAGTAGCTGCCATAACAATTAATGAGTTCTGACAAAGATGTATCATTTTAATGAAGCCATTATTAAGAAAGAGTCCATATGGGAATAAAGTAAGTATCACGTGCCAGGTAAATATCTATGGCTAATTAATTCTTACATTCTCACCTGTACCTATTACTTGGCAAGTTAAAATGATAATTCTTAAAATAATATGTCACAAACTGGCAATAAAGGTTGCAACATTTATAGAGTTCTGCCTGTGAAGATCTTCCCTCATTTAAAAAATTAAAGGAGAACGATGTCATTTTTTAAGGACCATTGTAGAAATAGGTTTTTAAGAAACATTTCTAAAGATATACATCAAGGTTTTTAAAGTTTACCTAATTAACCTGACAGCTTCGAGGTCCTCAGCACTTAGGAAAGAAGTCATCTGTAGGAAAACCATGTTGAAGGTGCCATCGTCCAAAAGCTTGGATGCCTCCCGCACGTCGCTAATGGTGACGGTGACTCCGGCTGTATTTGAAAAGAATTTCTGTACAGTATCAGCCAGGCAGTGAACAGTGACATCTCCAACTAATAAGAGGTCTATTTTTGCCTGAAAGAGAAGGAAGCAGAAGCACCATCTAATTAGTATTTGGGCACAGAGAAAATGCCACGAATAAGAGGACAAAGCAAAAAAAGGTTACAAAGAATAAAATGACTGACCCTAGGGTGGGACTAGCTGGTCAACTCTAAACATGTAAGGGCAGGAACTATTAGTGTCATATCCTCAGTAACCAGGGTAACTAATAGATCCGAAGGTAGTACTATTTTTCTGCAAATTTCTGTCTCAGACTAATAACAATAGGTAGAATCCCTAGGACCCAAATGTCGTCCTGCTGGAAAATCTGTTTACTGCCGAGAGAACCAAACTGTTGACTCTCCTGCCCAGTTTATATTGATGAAACACACATTCTAGAGAACAGAGCAAGATTTAAATTCCTAAATCCTAAGAAATGTTCAAATAAAGTCCTTTCAAGGAGATATACATGCCATTCCAATCCCAATATTAGAAACCAAAAGGCTCTTTATTTGCATCTGGGATATTTTCAAGTACGTTCAACTAGGAAAAACAGAATTTCCATTTTCCTTTTATCTCTGTTTTCTTCACTACAGCTAATGAACACAACCCACTGAAAGTGCCAAAGAACGAAGATGCTTGAATTCATGGAAATCATCAGAAGACAATCGGAAATGCCAGACTATAGACAGAGCCATATGACAAAACAGATTTGGGAACAGATTCAAGCTGAAGCCAACAAGAAGGGGGTGAAAAAGCTGGAAGTACCTGTACAAAGAGAAAGCCAGCTTGCCCAAGAGGCAGTTCTGCAGGACAGGATGCTCACACAGGTGTCCCCCACCCCGTGGGGCTTCCCTCCCCCTTCGGCCTGGTTTCCCGAGGGTTGTGGGAAAGAACAGGTGAGGGGAAAGAAACCAGGCAAGAGGTTTTTGTTTTTTTTTTTCCCCCTAAAGTACGTTTCCTTTACCATTTCTCATATCGTAATTCAATCCCTTCTCTTGAAGCAACCATGTGGACAGTTTAGTGTCTACCCTTCCAGGCAATTTTTCATACATTGAATTTTTAAAAATGAGTTGGCATTTTCACTTATCAACATAGTTCAAAAATTCGTCCAAAATTCGGGTTCATAGGAAACATTCTCATTTTGCAGGCTGTGATAGATTCGTTCTTTTTTTTTTTTTTTTTGAGTTGGAGTCTCACTCTGTCACCTGGGCTGGAGGACAGTGGCATGCTTCTGGCCACCGCAGCCTCGACCTGCTGGGCTCCGGCGAACCTTCCACCTCAGCCTTCCAAGTAGCTGGAACTACAGGCATGCGCTACCACGCCCAGCTAATTTTTTGATTTATTGTAGAGATGAGGTCTTGCCAAGTTGCCCAGGCGGGTCTTGAACCCGCAGGCTCAGGCAATCCACTCACCTCAGCCTCCTAAAGTGCGGGATTACAGGCTGAGCCACCAAGCCCAGCTAGATTGGTTCTTTTAAAAGTGTTTTCTGTTATTTGTGGGGATCTGGGCTGGTGATCCACATGTCACCTTGATCCAAACTTTCTTATTTCCAGTGATAATAATTGATTGAGCCATTCTCCCAATGTTGGATTTTGATGTTATCACAAGATTTTGACAAACACCTATATCTTTATACAAATAAGCACATATCTTAGGATCAAAGCTAGAAGATCACAAAGTTTTTGCTTTTTATCTTAAATACTGTCAAATTGCTCTCCCCAAGGAAACAAAATTTACACCCCCACCTGCAGTACCCATTTCCCCAACTCTTAACAGACTAATTATTCTTAATCTGTAAAAAATGTTTGCTAATATCATGACTAAAAACCCTCTTAATTTCCCCTTCCATTGGCATTTTTCTAACTAATGGTGAAGTTGAATATATATATTTTTTTCATGGCAAACTGAATCTCTATTTATTGCATATCCTATTTATTATGCATTACTACCTTGACTTCCAAGCCTTGGTTTGTCTTTTTCTTATTGCTTTGTAGGAGTTTATATATTCTGGATATCAGTCAACTATTTCTTTTTTCCAATCTGTCAGTCTTTAATTTTGATCATAAGATCTCTTGCCACTAGTAACGTCTGATATTTAATTGCAAATCTACTGTTTCCTTCATGGCCTTGGCAAATTGTGTCTGGCTTTCAAAGTCATCTCTATTTATGTTAAAACAAACTTTGACGGTATATTCTAATAGTTAAACAGTTTTATTTTTTGTATTTAGCTTTCCATCCCATCTAGAATTTATTTGGTGATTAATATGATGTAAGCATCTGATTTGATTTTTTTCCAATGCAGAGTTAATTGCCCCAATAACCTTATTGAACAAGCCAAGCATCTCTGTGTTTTTAAATGTGCATGTGTTTTCCCTGACTTCATTCTGACCCACTGATCTAGTTGCCTACCTCTGGTTAGTGCCACACTGTCTAATTACTGGCTCTTTATAGGATGTTTTGATATCTGAAAGAGCATTTAGTTCCCTCCTTGTTATTTTTCAATTTGATTCTTGGATATTTTCCTACAATTTACCGTCCAACTAAATTGTGGCATCAGCTTATTAAAGGTTTGATCTTGGTTGCATTTATTTCAATGGTTAGTTAAGGAATATCACTGCTGTGTTAAATCTCCCTATTTAGGAAGTTTGGCTTTCAGAGAATTTGGGTCATGTATTATGTTCCTCAGTTCTGTTGACTTTCGTATAGTTTTAGCATGTGTCCTCATCTGTTTGGTCTCAGATATTTCAATATTTGGAGGTCATTGTGTGGAGAGATCTTTTCTTACTCACTACATTTACTGATTGATTACAGCTGACATGTAGAAGTGCTATCTATTTCTGTATAAGGAACTCATTCAAGTAATGCACTTTATGGTATTCTCTATTTAGTTCCACTACATTTTAGTTGATTCTTCTCAAATTCCTAGAATGACAAACACAGTATCTTCAAAAAATTCTACTTTGGCCTCTGTTTCCAGAATTTATTCCTTTTATTAAAGTGTTAGCTGGAACATCCAAACCAACGGTGAACAGAAGTGACAGTGGGCATTCTTGCCTTGTTCCTGACTTCAGTGGGAATATTTCCTTTTTTTTTTTTTGAGTTGGAGTCTCACTCTGTCACCCAGACTGGAGTGCAGTGGCCACTCCCAGCCACCGCAACCTCGACCTGCCAGGCTCCGGCGATCCTTCTGCCTCAGCCTTCCAAAGAGCTGGAACTACAGGCGCGCGCTACCACGCCTGGCTAATTTTTTGATTTATTGTAGAGATGAGGTCTCGCTGCCCAGGTGGGTCTCGAACCCGTGGGCTCAGGCAATTCACTCACCTCAGCCTCCCAAAGGCACGGGATTACAGGCTGAGCCACCGAGCCCGGCAGTGGGAATATTTCAAATGCTTTTACCACTAAATATAATTCTTACTGAAGGTTTCTGATCAATATCCTTCATCAAGTTAAAAAAAAAAAAAAAAAGTCTTCCCATTGTGAGACTAAGAACTTAAAAATCAGAAATGGGTGTTGAAATTTATCAAATGCTTTTTCAATATGAACATTATCGTATTATTTTTTATTCTTTAATCTGCTAGGTAGTAAATTATATCAGATTTCCTAATGTCAAGCCATCATGGCATTGCTGGGATAAATCTATTTACAATGTGTAATAAATTCATTCATTTTTAGATTTCTGCACCCATGTTCATAAGTGAATCTGGATGCAATCTTGCTTTATTGTCTCATCTTAATTGGGTATAGTGGTTATGCCAACCTTGAAGAATAAAATAGAAAGTTTCAATATTATCCTACAGTCTTGAATAGTTTATAAAACACAGAAATTATCCGCTTCTTGAAGTTTAGGACAAACATATTTATGAAATCTAAACTACAGACTTTATATGGATTTCACCCATTTTTCTGCTCGTGTCCTTTGTCTGTCTAGAGTAGCGAGTTACACTTAGTCCCCGTGTCTCCCAGTCTCCTGTCATCTGCAATGGTGTCTCAGTTTTTCCTGACCTTTGAGGAACACTGGCTAGGTATTCTGAAGAATGTCCCACAACCTGGATTTGTCTGACATTGTCTCATGGTTCCACTGGGACTACAGATTGGGGAAGAACATCATGGACACAGAGTACCCTTCTCACGGTGCCAGGTGTAAATGAGACATTTCCAGCGATGTTCACCTGAGTTGCTTGGCTAAGATGGTGTCTGCAAGGTCTCTCCACTGTACAGTCCCTTTTTCTTCCTTTCCCCACCCTGTTTTCAGAAGGGAGTCACTCAGACCAACCCCACACAGTGGAAGGGGACTCGCCACCTCTTGAAGGCAGAAATGTCAAACAATTATGGATAAGTTAAAACCATCACAGGGATTAACAAATGTGTTAAGGGAGAAACTTCGAGGTTATGGGAATAGTCCACTTCTCCTTAAAATTATACCCTCTAGTTTACCATTCAACAGCAGATCTTATTACTGTGACCTTCCAATGGTGATTTTCACTTCCTTCCTTCTACATTTATGTGGAATTCCTTTGTAAGGAAGATTCCTTCCTTCTCCCTTATTTACTTATTTATTTATACGGTACATCATTATGGATATTTATTTTATCCTCTGGGTGACAATCCAATACTATTATTTTGTTACTCAAATGACTCCAGTTTGGCCACTGGGAACTGGGAAGTGCTTAATTTTTAATAAGCATATGCAGTCATTTTCTTTCTTTCTTTTTTTTTTTTGAGTTGGAGTCTCACTCTGTTGCCCAGACTGGAGTGCAGTGGCCACTCCCTGCCACCACAGCCTCGACCTGCTGGGGCTCCGGCAATCCTTCCGCCTCAGCCTTCCAAGTAGCTGGAATTACAGGCGCGCGCTACCACGCCCGGCTAATTTTTTTTGATTTATTGTAGAGATGAGGTCTCACCAAGTTGCCCAGGCGGGTCTCGAACCCACGGGCTCAGGCAATCCACTCACCTCAGCCTCCCAAGGCGCGGGATTACAGGCTGAGCCACTGAACCCGGCTAGCCATTTTCAATTAAGATGGAGAGTTCATCTAAATCTCCAGCCTCTCTCCAAACAAGGCAGCATCCTTACACACCTTCCCTCCATCCAATACCCAGACCCCCGATACCATTCTCATGCTGTGAATATCTGGAATTGTAGTTCCCATATTGAAATTCTACAGGTTTTCATTAACATTTATATTTAATGAACTTTTGTTTCTCTGATTTCTACGGTTTCTTGTCTCTCATATTTGCTTCTTTCTTGGATTCATTTTATTGAACCACAGTACAGGCCCAGGACGTTCTTTAAATGACTGTTTGATGTTATCAAAGAGTCCTAGCATGTCTAAAAGCATCTTTATTGTGCTCTCACAATTCAGTGCCAGTTTCACCTGGCAAATATTCCTAAGGTCAAAATCACATTGTCTTGGAACTTTGCGTTCAGCATCCAGACTTGCTAATGAAAAGAGTATGCTGCTTTGCTTTTCTCTGGGCATTTTTCTACTCTTTATCCTCTGGGTTCTCACAGTTCTCTAGGATGCATGTGGATAGGGATGTATTCTTCCTACTTGTCACCCAGTGGATCTTTGACGCTGGAAATTTTCTACTATTTCTCTGATTTTTCTGAATTTCTCTGATTCTTTCCTCCTGTCTGTTGTTCTTGTCTCTCCCTGCAAATCTTTTATTAGATGCTAGCCAGCCTGAATCTCATCCTTCGTGTCTCAACTTCTCTCTGAGGGACTTCCTTATTTTCCAGATCACTAGCTCAGTCTTCAGTCCTTCTAAATATATGTGCGTGTGTGTGTGTGTGTGTATTACAACTTCAGTTAATTTAATGTGAATTACTAATTTCTAGGATTTCTCTTTCTTTTTTTTTTTTTTTTGAGCTGGAGTCTCACTCTGTCGCCCAGACTGGAGCGCAGTGGCCGCTCCCGGCCACCGCAGCCTCAACCTGCTGGGCTCCGGCGATCCTTCCACCTCAGCCTTCCAGGTAGCCGGAATTACAGGCGCGCGCTACCACGCCCAGTTGATTTTTTTGATTTATTGTAGAGATGAGGTCTCGCTGCCCAGGCGGGTCTCGAACCCATGGGCTCAGGCAATCCACTCACCTCAGCCTCCCAAAGGCGCGGGATTATAGACTGAGCCACCGAGCCCGGCTGGATTTTTCTTTTTTTGTAATTTTTGTTATAGCCTACTATGTTTAGGATGTGATAGCCTCTCTTGGAATACAAATCAGAATTTAAAAGTTTTCTTCCATTCCCTTATGTCCATTCAGGCTGCTGTAACAGGTTTTTGGAAAATGAGGTGGCTTATAAACAACAGTTTGGATGTTGGAAACTCAAAGAACAAGGTGCTGGCAGATTTGGTGCCCGTTGAAGGTGCAATTTCTGGTTCACAGACAGCAGTTTCTCACTGGGGCCTCACATGGTGGATAAGGGAAGGGGTGTCACTCAGTCTTCTTTTATAAGGTGCCAATCCCGCATGACCTAATCACCTCCCAAAGACCTCCCTTCCTAGTATCAGCACCTTAGGGGTTAGGATTTCAACATATGCATTTGTGAGGGACTAAACATTTAGACTCTACCACCTTGATAGTCTGTCTCTAGATTGATTGTTCTGTGCACCTGTGTCTAGTTCTGCGAATGTCTGGCAACCCCTGGCTATGGACATATAAATATGAATCAAAGACCAAGTGGGTGGGAATAAGCAGTTTCCCCTGCAGTTGGTGCTTCCTCGAAGGCTGTTTGCTTTAAGAGAGAACGGACTATGGGTTTGATGTGAGTGAACAGGGTGGGCAGAGAGGCTCAAAATCAAGGCGGGTTTTCCTCTGAAAACCAAGCATGTTAATTTATGATCCTCTTGGGAAGAACTGCCTTTCCTTTTCTCCTCCATCTCAGTGATAGAAGTCTGGAAACAGCCCATGCAGGACACCCTCATTCCATGTACAGTTCATCGTCTTTGGACAGTTCCTGGGTCTTACCCTACAGTTAGGAGCACCATGGCTCCTGCCATAGTAGTAGGAGTGAGCTGGAGAGTCCAGGAGGACAATCCGGGGACCTACCTGGTCCGAGTGTGTTCTGCTCTCAGCGGATCCAAACCAGGTGACCACACTTTGGGCCACTTCCATCTGTGTTTCCGTTAATACTGTTAATTCTGTTAATACCTATCACTAAAATTGTTTTTCCTCTGCATTTATTCTCTCTGTATCTTTTAAGTTATGGTTTTTCTACTTGTGTTTTAGTGGCAGTTTGATTCCATCTGCCTTCAAGATTTCAAGTTTTTCTGAAGTTTGTTTTTATGTTCAGAGAGCAGCAGCTTTGTCTGAACCAAGACCCCAGGAAGGACAATGCATGGTCTTTGGTTGTCTCCTTGATCTTTTAATCTGAAACACCTGTCCTCTTATTGTCCCATGCTGTTTACTTGCTAACGTGTCATCCCATTTTGAAAGCATCTCCTGCTGTGGAGGGGAAGGGAGGGTGACAGGTGTGCCCAGTTCACCATCATGAGCCAATACCCCTCACCTGCCCCTCCCTACTTTAAACAGAAAAAAAATTTAAGCCCCTTGGCATGGTCTTTCACAGACTCAGGTCAACCGATTTCACCAACCTCATTTCCTCCTACTTCCCTCAAATATCGTACATCCTAAGAGGACAGTGTGACACTTCCACGTTAGCTTTGATATTTGGAGTGTCTCCCATGGAGCGTGTTGGGGCCCTGCTAGCGTGTTTCCCTTTCCTTGTATAAACATTTCTCATTTCCAACAGCACTTCAGGGGCATTGGGGGACTCAGCCACCATGATGCTGATAAGTGATGCTAATGAATGAGGCTGCTTGCAAATCTCCACAGTCACGTCTGATTTCTTTTATACCAATATATTCCTTTGTGAACCCAAAGCCAAGCCCTGGAACAATCACTAACATAACCGGAATGACTATAGTTTTGTATTTTTATTAACCTGGTTAACTGAAGCAACCTAAAAATGTCCAAAAATAGTGTATATGGGCTGGGTGCGGTGACTACCTGTAATCCCAACACTTTGGGAGGCTGAGGCAGGAGGATCACTTGAGCCCAGGAGTTGGAGACCAGCCTGGGCATCATAGTGAGACCCTATCTCTTAAAAAAAAAAATACAAATATTAGCCAGGCATGGTGGCATGTGCTTGTAGTCCCAGTTACTTGGGAAGTTGAGGCAGAAGAATCACCTGAGCCCAGGAGTTTGAGACAGAGGTGAGCCATGAACATTCCATTGCACTCCAGCCTGAATGACAGAGTGAGACCCTACTCAAAAACAAACAAACCTACCTTTCAGTTTAGGCCATATAACTTATCTTTTAAACTGAGAAGCTTTTGAGAATGAAAGGGGGTGGTGCTATTAATAATTACCCTAAAATAACACGTGTAAACCAGGGTGTCCTAGGCTAGAAATAATTTACAAAACTTTCTAGAAAGATTTCTTTTTCTTTTAAATCGTCCTACCACTTTATGCATCTGCTTACATATCCTTGATATTTATTCTCTCCATAGATACTTACTGAGCCCCTGCTACAGGGCAGACACAGTGCTGGGTGTTAAGAATATAAGGTGAACAAACAGATGCGGGGCCTGCCCTCATGGGGCTTGCATTCTAATAGCCTTTTTGTCTGCTGATAAGAAGACCTGGCCTTCAATCCTTGGAACACAGGAAGAATGGGACGTGAACCTCAGTTACGGATCCTTCTGTGACAGATGCAGCAGAAAGGGAGCAAAGATCTGGGACCAGGTCAGGTATTTACTAGTGCCTTGGAATAAGACAATCATGTGACCCTCGTCTAGAGTGAATTATACTTACTTTGCAAGAATGTTATAAGGAGAAGTGTTTGTACAGAGCCCTGCAGGTGGTAGTTATTGCCATGGTTTCTCAAGTAATAATACCAAACCTGAGCACAAAGAACACAGAAAATGTCAAACCAACCTGACAGGGGAGGATGGGTGGGCTGAGTGGTGGAATTAGATGGGGAAATGTGTCCCGGCCAGGCAGTAAAAATAGCTCTGAATCGAATTGAACTCTGCATTGCTTAAGTCACAGGGCTCAGGAAATGGGGCCTAACTGAAACAAAGATGAGCTCCAGAACAGAAATCAGCTGCCTCACTTGAGCCTTTTCCAGGCTAGCACTGGGCATCCTGACTGTACTAGTCTCCTTGAGGGAGGGCTCAGTTCCCAACATCCCCAGAATCTCTCAGCCTTGTGGAGGAAAATCAAGAGCGAGCTGGGAAGGGCAGAACATGGGTACTAGGGAGCAGGGAGACACATGGGAGGAGAAAGAGACATGTGGAAGGGATAAGGAAAAAAGCGTGCACCGCCAACCCATGGTCCTCACAGGAGTATGAGGCTTTGCACGGCGCCTTGCATCACAGCCCAGAGGGGCCTCGGCACAAGGGAGCTTCGGAAAGAGCCGATGGGCTCTCTTGCCAGAGGCTTCTCAGTGCCACAGCACACTTGGGATGTTGACAAATCAGAATGCTGCTTAAGTCCCCTATCCCCAGGTGACTCAAATTAGCTGAATGGCTTATAATCAACATAAATCTGAATATTCAGTTAAAAATATCTTGTTGACAGCATCTGAACACAGGCGAGGAGAGGGATCGACTGATAAAAATAAAAGGGAAGCTGGGATCGGTGGCTCAGCCTGTAATCCCGCGCCTTTGGGAGGCTGAGGTGAGTGGATTGCCTGAGCCCGCGGGTTCGAGACCCACCTGGGCAGCGAGACCTCATTTCTACAATAAATCAAAAAATCAGCCGGGCGTGATAGTGCATGCCTGTAATTCTGGCTACTCGGAAGGCTGAGGCGGAAGGATCGCAGGAGTCCAGCAGGTGAGGCTGTGGTGGGTGACTGGGAGTGGCCACTGCACTCCAGTCTGGGCGACAGAGTGAGACTCCAACTCAAAAAAAAATAAAAAATAAAAAATAAAAGGGAAAGACATAATTCTGCTTGGAAAATGGCCCTTTAGGACATCTAAGATTGTCACTGGTGAGCACAATTTGGAGCGATGCTAGGTTTCATGGGATGGAAAAATCTCTATTTGAATTGCTTACCTCATCTTTTTTCCCCCTCAGACATGCCAACAGACCTTCTTTTGAAACCCCAAGAGCCAGGAGAGAGCGTGAATGCAGTCCCCCACTACCACAAATTATGCAGTAGAATTTCCCACATTTGGGGAGATTGCAGGGGTCAGTACATTTTGTGCAATACCTTTTTTCACAAAAGCAATACATCTTCGCTGGGAAATACTGCACAATTCAAAAACGTCTAAAGAGAAAATAAAAAGGATCTGTAATTCCACCACTTAGGGTAAGTCCTATTAACACCTGGGCCCACACCCTTTGTGTGTGGGCAGTTCTTACAACGTGACATCACTGTCCCCATCGCTTTATCCACTCAGTTTGATTTCCACAATCACAGTCACACGCAGGGTACTCCCGTCTCCACCATATTTTAAACACTGGATTTCCATCTGCAGTCTGTGGCGGGCTCAACCCTTAATGAGTAACAGCAGGTGCTGAAGTGCGTAAAGCAAAATCACTCTCAGGTTTTAGTGAGGTGTTATTTGTCACTCTTATCTCCGGGAGTAGCACTAACAATCAGCAGCAGCTGTAAGGGGACCCTGGGTGTCGCCAGTAGTCCTGGGATTTGTACAGCTCGATGAGGAGAAACTGAGCAAGCAGCTCTTGTCACAAAGGCACAAAAAAGGGGCTTCAGGCTCTCTTAAGGGGAGGACCATTATTTGCGTACTACTAGATACTCAGATCTTTTCTTCGCAATTCATGTATGCAGCTTCGCCTAATCCTGCACCACTAATGCTATTTTTCCTTAGCGTTTAAGTAGGTTCCCGTATCTTGAAAAAATTAAGAAAACCTGTTAAATGGGGCCCCGTCAAAGTGGTCCTAATGCCACTCGCAAAGCTTGCTTGGGAGTGAGATTAAGCATGCAGCGCATTCTAAGGGGTGAGAAGACTTCAGAGGGCACAAATGCTGATGGAGATACTGGAAGTCTCACGAAGAAGGCCGACCCAGCAGGCCTGGCTTTCTGGAGTGGGGAGGCTGTGTGTGCTTTATCCTAGCGGGGTCATCGCCTTTCACTTTCATCAAAAACAGTCACAAAAATGATTTTGTGCTTCGCCGAGGGGGTGAAAGAGAAGGGAGCCAGTGGGTCTTTTGATTTCCCCGGAGAGGCGGACATGTGGCCAGCAGGTCGCCGTCCCCCTGGGGCTCTCCTCGCCACTGGTCACTGCCTGTTTGGGTAAAAGCCGGAGGGGTCACTTGGGAATGCCACGCCAGTACGCTGACTGAAGACACGCGTGGTCCTAATGCCAAGCCAGCAGTGCGGAAACTCAGCGCGCCCGTGTGACCCTCGATGGAGGCCAAAACAAAGTCGGCTCTCACCATCGTCCTGCCACCAGCCCCGGGGGCCCACCGAGGGTGGCACCGAGGTGCTCAGCAAGGGGCCTTGTGCTTGGCAAGTGATGTGAAATGGATGAGCCTCGAGAGCCAGGCCAGGCCTTTTTCTAAGCCGGTTGAGTCCACTTTCTTCCTGGGCCTGCTTTTCCCGAGATAAACCAGCCCGGTCCCCAGCTCAGCGCCCGGGACACCCTGGGAGGCCGGGCCCGCGTTCCCCCAGCTCGGCCAGCGAGTCGCGCCCTGGCCCTCCCGGCCAGCCCTTCCCGCGGTGTCGGGTA